CGCACAATCGAGGGCCTGGGCCTCACATAGACTCCGAGAGCGCCGCGGCTCTGCACGCTTCTTTAGAGCCGCTAGAACCTCTCCTAGTCACCCAACACGTCGCCTGAATCCGACAGGTGGGGCATCTGGACGGTCAAGACGGCGTACGACGTGGAAGTGTACTTTGACGGGCTCTACCGGGCGCACGACAAGACCGAGTACCCCATGCTCGGGTACAACTACGTTTCTGGCGTGTGGCAGGCGCGGCATGGTCGCGGCGCACACACCCTTCTCGGGGAGAGAGCCTTCTCGGAACCTTCCTGCACGGTGTGCGATCCAGGCGGACGGGCTGAGGCACGTCTCGATCCTCGAGACGGGCGGCTACATGGCCTTCCACTACCAGTGGCTGAAGGGGCAGGCGCGCCGGCAAATCACCCATCTCGCCCGCCCACATAACCGCTCTGTCTCTTGCGCTTTAAAACACACCGCCCACCGCCCCCATCTCCTCTGCCCCGTCCCTAATATGCCCCCCCCCCCCCCCACTCCAGGACGAATATCTCGTTAACCTGACCATGTACCACCCCTCGCTCGGCCTCGGAACCGCCATCGCCAAGTGGGCCCGCGTCGGAGCAAACTCGACGGCCGCAGCGGGCTCCGCCGCCGCCGCCGCCGGGCCGGGCGCGACTGCGCTTGCGACGCCCACGGCGGCGGCGGCGGGCGGAGTGCTGCTCTTGGCCGCCGCTGCCCTCGCGGCTGCGGCGTGGAGGAAGCGTGGCAGTGCGGAGGCGGCCAGCAAGCCGGTGCGGGCCTCGCTGGTGTGACCGATGCCGGTGTTGTGGCGGGGACCGAGGGGGGACCAGGGGCAAAGCCCCCTGCCGTGACGCGACGCGCTTGCTTTTGGGTCGCGGCGCGTGAGGACAAGAGCGGAGAGGTGAGGACACAAGGACAGACGATGAACAGAGAGTGGTTGGGGTGTGCGGGTGTGTCGAGGTATGTGAGCGCGCTCGACGAGGCTCTGTGGGAGTGCGCAGCGCGGCCAACGCTTCGATCTCCGGAGACGGAAGCCGCGCTATATTTGTTTCTAGCTGTCACCTGAACTTGTGTACGTGAAATATGTGAAGTTGTGTGCTTGCTATAGTCTGAATAACGCCGTATGTGAAGTTGTGTGAATGTGTCTGTCGTGTGCTGTCTGCTGGTGCGGTGCGTGCGGACTCAAAAAGAAAAAATATCGCTGTGCCCGTCGTCGGTCGGTGGGCAACACTTGTAAAACGGTACAAGTTGTGTCGCGACCTCAACGAATTCCTCAACTAGGCCCCTCGGGCGCGATATAGGGAACTGGCCGTACCGCGTACCGCTTCACACCCGCGGGGCCGTACCGATACCGCCTACCGGGCCCGAGGGGCCGACTCAACATAGGTCGGTACCGCGATGACTTCAGCCGACGCGAGCTTTGACGCCGTGCAGCTGAGCCTGCGCGGACAGCTCTTCTCTACCACGCGAGCTGTCTTGACTGTCTACCCCGGGAGCTACTTCGAAGTCATGCTCCGGTCTGCCGACATGCGGCACGAGCAGGGGGCCACACGCGAGCCCTTTGTGATAGACCGGCCTCCGCAACTTTTCTCGTGGATCCTGACGCTCATGCAGGCGGAGCATAACGCTCTTACTTCCCCGGTTGGCAACGCTAGCGAGGATGCAATGCTGAAAGAGGAGGTAGTGCCTCCTGACTACAAAATGCAGAAGATGGCCGAGCTCAAGGAGCTGCTCGCCAGCCGGGGCCTCGCAGTGAGTGGCAAGAAAGATGACCTTGTCAGAAGGCTGGAAGAGGCCGACCAGCGGCAGGCGACGGCTGCCTCCTCCTCCGCTGCTGCCGCAGCCGCCTCCTCTTCCTCCGCCGTAGAGGCTGCTGGTGCTACCTCCTCCACTGACACCATTGGCGACCTGCACGACGGGGTCCCGTGCCGGCCACTGATCAGCGCCGAGCTAGCCGCGGCGGTGCTGTCAACGGACGCCGAGACGCGAGCGTCACTTGCGGCCGAGGCGGACTTCTATCTGCTTGAGCCGCTAGTCCAGCTTCTCCGCGCCGACCCGGGCTTGCTCCCCGCCGACCGCGACCGCCGCGTCACCGAGGACTGTCTTCGTGCGCTCTTCTGCAACCGCCGGTACGGCGAGGAGGTGTCCGACCTTCACGCCGGCCTCGTGGACATACAAGCGGCCGAGCTCACTGCGGACCCGGAGCTGTCGTATCGGATGCTATTCGACAACTTGGCGCCGCGGTTTAAAGGCACCCGAGGCAGGTTCCGGGGCCAAGTGATCCGCCATGGCCCGGGTGCCGACTTCAGGGACAACTTCGGCCTCTTTTATCCGGGCGTCCTCGACGCCCTCGATGGTGTGGTCTGTCCCGAGGAGTGCGGGTGGTTCATCGCGGGCGGATCTGTGTTGCGTGCGCTCATTCACGATGCGCAGCCACCAGCCTTGTCGAGCGCGCCGCCGCCGGGCGAGCGGGTGGCGAAGAACACGACTTGGGGAGGCGGGGTACTTCGTCACTTCAACCGGCTGATGGACGATCATCAGGAAGGGCTGGCCGGCGCGGCGGGAGGCTTTTTGGCCGAGGACGAGGTGCATGACTCAGACGGCGACGAAGTCTTGACGGGTGCCGGCTGGCTCCCGCAGTCGAGCAACCCTTCGAAGCGCGGGCTCGGCTCGGCCTCGGCGACCGACATGTTTGAGCACAGCGACATCGACATCTTCCTGTGGGCGCGTGGGCGAGACCTGGAAGGTAAGGCGACGGAGCTCGCGCGCCGCATCGCCGACGCGCTCGGCAGCAGGTTCAACGTCGAGCTGTCGCGTTCCCTCTTCGTCATCAACATCAACGCGACGCCAAAGCCCCATGCGCGCGGCTGGGAGGACTGGTTTGGGCGGCGACCACAGGAGACGACGCCACTGCAAATCATCCTCCGCCGCGGCGCGCGCCAACGCAGCGGGCTTCATCGAGGAGCTGCCTGAGCAGTACGAGACCCTAGCGGGCGAACGCGGCACGAGCCTCTCCAGCGCATCGCCATCGCGCGGGCGATCCTGAAGGACGCGCCCATCCTGCTGCTCGACGAGGCGACCTCGGCGCTCGACACGGCGAGCGAGGAGGCGGTTCAGCACGCGCTGGCCCTGCTGATGGCGGGTCGGACCACCCTCGTCATCGCGCACCGCCTGAGCACCATCGCGACGGCCGACACCATCGTCGTTATCGACCGAGGGGTCGTGGCGGAGACAGGCACGCACGATGAGCTGCTCGCCGGCAAGGGCATATACCACAGCCTCGTGGAGGGGAGCGCCGGGACAACGAGCTAGCGAGCTCAAGCAGAGCGCCGGGACAACGAGCTAGCGAGCTCAAGCATGCTTGAGCTCGCTACAGGCGGGATGGGAGCGTTAGCAGAGGTCGGACTCCACCAGGATTTCTTCCGTGCGCGTTTATCTTCTTTGCCAAGGCATCCTGGGCTGATCCTGCTGAGCGGACCAACGACGCCCGGCCCTGTGCCCCTGCCATGGGCGCCGAGGTCAGCAGGCTGGGCGCGGACAGGTACAGCCCTGGCGCCATCCTCCGCTTCATCGCGCATATCGGCAAAATGTCGGTTGGCAACATCTCAGATGGCTTCCGCTCTGCCCTCGACACCGAGCTGGAGCGAGGCAAGGCCCTCGCAGCCAGCGCGTACCAAATGCACATCGGCTGGCGCGAGACCTCTCCGGAGTGGACCGACTTCCCGTGGGCTCGCGCGCCGGCGGAGGGCGGATCGGCAGAGCAGGCACGCGCACGCACATGCCGCTGTCAGCTCCGCAGCCCGCCCGCCCGCAAGCGCGACACGCTCCCCGCCGCCAGGTCGTGTGCGACTGGCTGGAGGCGGTCGGTCTCGAGCCCCTCCCGCACGGCGTAGCGTGGAACCT